CAGATTACTTAAATACCTCAGTAACATTTTAATTTGTTTTTTTTTTTCTGGAATGAAACTACTCCCTATGGCCTTCCTTTCCTTCTTAGAAAGTGGCACAATTAAACCTGGTGTTCACACAAAAATATGGAAGTCCTCCTTGGCCTCCTTCCTCACACACAATTCAATTCTCAAAAAGTATGCCCATCCTACTTCATCTCCAAGTCTGCCACCGGTCACTGGATTCATGATACAGCTAAGCAACTGGTGTGTTTGAGGGATCACCACTGCCCCAATGCCACCCTACAGCTTCCTCTTATGCAACAGCATCCCCATTAGGTGCCGGCCACATGCTGGCTCTTTAGTTCCACTGTCAGTTCAGACCACAGACTCCCCCCTACAGCCATGCCCTCACACAAACCTGCTCCGTTGATGCTATCACTGGTCATGGGTCTCAGATGAAGAATCTCCCTTAAGGTTTTCTCTAGCCAAGCTTCTGAATGTTGCCTCCCATCCCATCACACTGTGCTATCAAAATTTGATACTACCTGATTATTTTTTGACTTTTCCCATCATTTCCTCCAAAGACTAAAAGCTGGGTCTATAGGTTTTGTTGTTGTTTTTGTTTGCTTGTTTATGATTGTATACTTAGTGTTAAGGCCAACGCCTAACGATGAATACTTGTAAGTCAGTTAACTTGTTTCCTCTTTTTATTACCTAGTGCTTAGACTTCCCAGGGTAACAATGATCCCACCTTTCCATCCTGGGAATTAAAAACACAGGCATGCTGCCGCTGAGTTCTACCATGCCTCATACCCTTGGTGCGCTCATTTCTATTTTTAACTGTCCCTAGCACCTACTTTAGAACCTGCTACCTAACTCTAGGCCTCTTAACCTCAAACTTCCCACCAGAAAATCAGAGAAAATTTAGAGCATATTATGCGTACAAATTGCTGATCGGGAAACAACAGTACTGAGTGATGGTGTTCCTTCTAAAGTCATGCGGAACTTTAGTCCTCAGTGAAGACATGATGTGGGTAGCTGAGGATTGGGTGGTGACCTTTGTGAATACAGTTAACACCTTCATCAAAGGGTTCGAGTTTGATGGTAACGCCTCCTTGCCCTTCCATTGTTTCCCTGTTGTGAACACAAGCTTTACTCACTCCAGAACAGCAGACAGCTCCATCTTGCATGGAGAACATCCATCCCAGACAGCAGGGCTGCTAGCACTTTGATCTTGTACTGCCTTGTCTCCAGAATGTGAGAATCAAACCTCTATTCTTCATAAATTACTCTATCTCAGGCATTTTCATAGGAGAATGGATGAATACATAAAGATACTCAATAAAGAAGTTCATAGTTTTACTTCTGTCCCTAAACTTCATGTTCTTTCTGTTTAACAGAAATCCATGCACAAATGGATGAAAGTGACCAAAATGGAGTCATATCTGCTGCACCTTTCTTGTTGTGACAGTCCCATTAGATATTCTGCCTTCAAGGAATGAGGTTCTCCCCACTCCCACCAGAAACTGCACCTCTAACTTCAAAACTAATATAACTGTAGTCCCAAATAACTGGAGTTCATAGTAGTATTATAAATGAACCTTCTTAGATTGTGGAAGTTACGAAGGGTTGGGGCTGGAGGAGCTGGAGAGATGGCTCAGAGCATTCGTTGTTCTTGCAGAAGACTGTGGTTCAATTTCTAGCATCTGCCTGGTGGCTCACAACCATCCATAACTCCAGCTCCCATTCATTTGATACTCTCTTTTGACTCCTGAGGGAACCAGGCATGCATGCACTGCACACGCATGTGTGAATAACATTCACATACATAAACTAAAAGAGGAGTAGGGACTGCATAAGTTGCTCAGAAGCTGACAGGAGTCAAGGCCCCAAATTCAGTCCTCTGCACCCGAATCAGACAGCTTGCAGCCACCAGGAACATCAGCTACAGGGGCTTTGAATACATTTGGCTTCCTAGGGCACCTTCAATCAGGTACATGTGCCTGCACATGGACACACACCCATCCACATACACATAATTTAAAAGAATAAAAATAAATCTTTTCTTTTTTCTTTTTTCTTTTTTTTTGGAGAAAGCCAGTCACATATTTGACAATGTAGAAGGCATTAAAAGGAAACAGCAGATGGCAGCACCAGATGCTAGTGATGTGTTCAGCTGTAACCTGAGCCCTGGTACCAAAAGTACTCAGACTCAAGTTCAAAGAATATCTTCAGTAGAAAAGATACTGTTCTTTAATAAAAAATAATTTTGGCTTTGCAGTGTAAGGCAGGACTTTTAGGAACATTTCACGTGTCACCAACAAAATCCTAAGACATAAATTCCTAGGCTTACTTAGAGAAGTTTACTGGGTAAAGACTGAATTTGAGCTTATAATTATGTGTTAAACTATCATCTTGTGCGTCAAGTAACTGGAAGAGGTCTCAAGCTAAAGACTGTAACAATCAGCTTCCCAAAAAAGAGCCAACTTGTTAACATTTATTCCTTCTATTTTAAAATAAAGAATAATAATGGTCTCTATCATATTCTTCAGCAGATACCATGAAAAATACTTACAAATTGAATGTTCAATGAAGCAAAAACAATAGTAAAAATCAAAACAATAATCTGTATTTTTCCACACTGTGCATCAAAACTTCATATGAAGTTTTTAGCTAGGTGTAGCTCACCCAAGCTTTTCTTCTTTCAGAGGAAGGAACTGCCACAATGCTGGTCATTAAGACATAGGGCCGGACAATGATCTCCCCAGAACAGCAGACTTTTACATAATTCCACACTAAGGTTTTTATTCTCCTTAAACACTGCTAGAGCACTTCACAACTTTTCTATGAGATCACAAAGGACAGATTTGGCTCTGTATTTCAGATTATATAGCGGGAGAGTTTGAGTTCATATAAGGATAAAGAGAGGTGCCCACTTAGATCTCATGGGCCTTTATTTTTGTTCCCTTTGACGGACTGCATCATAAGAGAACTTTCAACAGTAGAGGGACATCCTTAGGAGCACTGTAGTTGGCTATCAAAACCTAACTGTCACCCAGTGAGAGCAAATTGTTTCCCCAATACTATGGCTGTTATTGTGAACATATTTTTTTTTCCTCTCTGGAATTCTGAGACTATCAGGCAAGACAGCTGATGCTAATCCAAGACCAGATCAAGAATTCCAAAGTAAAACTGCTCTAATTGACGAGGGAAAGAGATGAAGCAGGCATCCAAATTGTAAGAAGCGATGCACTTCAGTCAGCCAAGAGTCAGCTGTCACAGACAGATTCGACTCCAGAATCTAAGGATGGATAGGTCAGCGCTCTTTATGAAAAACAAATGACTCACTGCATAAAGTGGTAAGTGGTGTGAGGAAGCTAAAATTTCAACAGACGGGATCCAGAAAGCAAAATAAACTAGCCAGAAACAGCATTCTTCTGAATGCACCTTAAAAGCAATGTCTAGGGGTATGGATAACGTCCATCACTAAAAGCACTCTGAGTATATGGATAATGTCCATCACTTCCAAAATATCTTATGCTTTAGGGAAGTCTAAAACTTGCTCCATTTTAATTAAGCCAAGCTTGATTTAAATGTGGCTATGATCTTTTGCTTAGATGACCTGTCCATGTTTTCACTGGGACCTGTATGGTTCTCAATCTGTCAGGACACAGGTAACAATGGCGGGTGCCACTTTCCAACTGATACATGGCACTGAATGCCATTTGAGGGTTTGGGTACACACTGGCGACATCCAGTCGTCTAGGGGCCTCCCTGAACTCTCACAGACATTCAGGCATCATGGAGATACCACCACTGCTGACACCAACTCCTCCAAACAACTGGGTGGGTGAGGAAGGGAGGTGGCTTTTTTGTGACACCACAGGCCCAGTCAGTCGGTCTCTTTCAGCAGTTGTGACTGAGAGAACATGCTGTGCTTAGCAGGTTGGCTCCAGTCTTGGAGCATAAAGTATGTGTGACAACAATAAGCACAAGAGTCCTGCCCATACTCCTCCCTAGCGCTAGATCTGTAATGGGAATGTTTAAAGTAAATGCACGAAACCAAGAAACCAGGCTGTGAGTTAGACTACTGGGACAGGTGCTAATTGGTGGCCCTAAGACACAGATCCTTTTATTCTCTGTTTCCAGACCCCATATATCTTGGAAGAAAAGCAACAGGCAGAAGATGGGAAAACCAGATTGGGTTTATGAGACCAGCTGAGAGCCCATGTCACACGTAAGCACTGGATTTCCATAGGGCAAAGAATCTAGCCATTTTGATTTTTTTTTGGTCTTCAATATTCACTGGAAAAATTGTTCAGCACGTTGGTCTGACTTCTCTGCTCTCAGATGACTGCCATGGAATCTTCAAAACTAGTAAGTCCATAATTTTTAGTCATGGAAATTAGGAACAAGGACTAGACAGTTCTCAGAGTAATAAAAAAATAAAGGCAAGAGAAATTAGATCATAATCAAAGATGTGTCCTTATCACTCCAGTTTAATAATGGTTCGAATTACGTGTGTTTCCTTAAACTACTCAAATTAGAAACAGTATCTAGCTAAAGACTATTGTCTGGAGGCCAAGATTAGGGGTTTTGAGCATGCTTGGAATCCAAACAGCCACGAGGAAAGACCACCTCCTGTTTCTTACAGTTGACATATAAGATGTGACAGGGCAGTGTCCTGATTTTATGGCAGGACATGTATCATGTCCTGCTGATCAACTGGCCACCTTCATAAGCATCCTCATCCAATCATGCTAATGGTAAAAGGCTAATAGCTTTATAGTCTAACGATACCTGGGTTCACTGTTTAGAATGACCGAGGTTGGGGGACAGCATCCTGTGGACAGTCTCCATAATGGGTACAGAACAACAACGGACTGAGAACTTCCCAGAATCATGCAGACTTATCTAGTTGCTTCGGCATCCATGAAGGGGTTAACAGCCCCCCACACACTAATAATCACGTATGCCTTCAACAAAATCACACTGCTCCCTGTAGAGCACACAGACTCAGCAAGTGCTCCAGTGTTTAATTATTGCTAAAGTCATTTGGGGTTTTTGACACAGATTCTATTTTAGTAAGATAAACTCAGCATAACCCAGTATTGCCAAAACCGAATTCCTAAGGTAGATGACTAAAATAAACCAGCAATAAACATTGGCTGTTGGAATGGGAATCATATCTCTGTAATGTAGACACAGCATAATGACTCATTTTAAGTAACAGTCTCTCCCAGGGATTACTGGGATGAGGGATCAGAGAAAAAAAAGTCCATCTCTATTAGGCTGTAGGACTGAAGAGGATTATTAACCAACCAGACAAGGATTCTGTTAGGTCTACTTTGCAAAAAGAGATACACACACAACACAGCCCCTGGAGTCCAAAAGGAGATCCACTTGGACAGGCTGCTTTGAGACACAAGTAAGGCTTTGGGAGAAACCATCGTTGGGGCTGAGGTTGCTCGCTCTAGGAATAGTTTTCTCATCCTTTTGAAGATGCAGTGTGTCCCCAGTCCACCTCCTTCATCTTATATGACAACAGTTACCTTGTCCCCATTGGGTGCTTCCATGTTCCTCTGTTGCTTGGAATTAGTGAGTGCATTTGGACCACCTTTCCTTTCTAGGTTCGAATTTTGAGTTTTTGGTCCACTAGGTTGAGATTTACAACTTCTCTGGTGTACAGGTAGGCGGTCTACAGCAAAGGTCCGGCCACAATTTGGGCAAGGCACAAGCGTGGCTTGACTCACCCCCTCTTGTCTGGGCTGTCCAGTTGGAAGGGGTTGAGGCTTCTGGGGCAGTGGCCGACGCAGCTCTCTAGGAAGCCGATCATTCTCAATTTTCCACTTCTCCAAGCATTTGGGCTCGTGGATAGGAAGGGACAGTGTGCCAAATTCCCTACCACAAATGTAACAGATGAGAGTCCTTGGTCGGGCTGGGATGCCACTAGAAGCTTTCTTGAGACCAGTAGGAACATTAGGACTATCCATGTTTGGTGTGCCAGGATTCTCACCCTTTGGCTTGCAACTTCTCTGGTGAACCAGGAGACGATCTGGCAAAAATGTGCGGCCGCAGTTTTCACAGGGGAGCAGCTGAGCCTGCGCACTCTGAAATGCCTCCTCGTTGGCTGCCTGAAGGTTGTATGAGTCGCTGCCACCGATGGGCTGTGGTTTGGAGGGTTCTGGCCTCCTCAGGTGCTTGGGTAGTTTGCTGTTCTCAATGCGCCACTTCTCCAAGCACTGGGGCTCATGAATAGCAAGTGACTGGGACCCAAATTCTCGTCCACAAATGTAGCATATCCGGAACCCTGGCCTGCGGGATGGGATCACAGGGGGTCTAGGCAGGCTTTCTGACATAATTCGACTGGAGCCTTTTGATAGAATCGCTGTTCCTGGTCTCCTTTTCTGAGTGTTGGCCTTTATGTTTTTGGTTAGACCGCCACACTGTGTTTCCTGCAGAAGGGTAGAATGGGAGTCACTCGGCAGGATAGCCTGCTGGATAAGGAAGGTGGGCTCTTTGGAGCAGTGGATAGTTCCTTGTGATTGGCTGGAAATCCTTTCATTTCCTCTTTCCATGAACAGAGGAGGAAGCTTTCTCTAGTGCTTGCTTGAGTTTCAGGCCACACCGGTTCTCAGCTGCTGCTAAGACTGAAGGTTAGTGACGCTAACTTGTCCTGGGCTTCCACATGTTGCCAGTTGATCAGTGACTCAGAGCTTCGTTGGAGGGCAGGAGTCTGGAATGTGGGAAAGTCCCCATGAAGCCTTCGATATCTATCTCCAAGATCTGTAAGGAGCAGGAGATATAAATCAAGAAGTTACTATACACAGAGACAGACAGACAGACAGACAGACAGACAGACAGACAGACACACACACACACACACACACACTCACACACATCCCTTAGATCAGAAACTGATAAAAGACAGCATTTTTTTAATTGGCCATGTGCTCTGTTTGGCTAGTTTAGTAACCACCAGTACATTCGAGATAGTCAAGAAATATGAACACAAATGTGAATAGTTTGTTTACAAATTGCAGTGCACTGAAATTACTAGAGCAGAATTAGTCACAAAGAAGGCTGAGGATGACATCACATACACACAGATGACACAAAGTAACAGTCTGACTCCAGGAAGAGCACTGTTCACAGAAGAGAAAAACGAAGCTTCTATTCACAAAAGGGAAAATCCAAAAACAAAACTAAAGGGATCGATAGACCCTGTAGAAAACCTTGGTGATCCCACAAGCCCCTCCTTCAGAGATTCTTAACCCTTCAGTGACATAGACTCCTTTGATAATTTTGAAAACATCAGGCTCCATGGGATGGTTAAAAAAATTTAACATTATTTAAAGATGAAACAAATTTTGTTGAAAAAATGTGTCAAGTATTTGAGGCGACAAATTAGGAAACGTATTAGTGTGAGAGACTGCTTGAATATTCACGCATTGAAGAGCCCGGATGAGAGATCTGTGCATCTTCCTTGGGACTGCAACGCTCAGGCGTTGCTTGATGCTTTCTCATCATATTTATTTTGTTTTATACATGTATGTTTGCCAACCAGTTTTGGTAAAGAAAGAAAGAAAGAGTAGGGTAGGGTAGCTGTTTTTCTCAAACAAACTAGAAGAAAAGGCTAATAGGACAATGAGATCTCATTATGGGCAGAAACATAAGATGTTTTTATCTTGGGAGAAATCCTGAGTAAATGTGATTGTGGGTTAACAAGCTAATTCTATCAGAAATCTTGGGTCCTTGTAAATGTTCTGGGTCACTAGGTCAGGGTTGGAGTCCGAAAGCATCCGTTTAGGTTGCAGGGACTGCACCAGATCTGAGGTTCAGCACACATCAGCAAACATGAGCCTAGACTGGTAATATGAAAACCTCAGGTGTAAGGTTTATAAGGGACAAAAAGAACTGTGAGATCTGAGCCCAGTTCCTGCATTTTTGGTGCCAAGAAAAGCCCAAACCTTTGTAGTTTAGAGATCAACTCAGGTCTGGCATGGAGAAGGAAGTGATTCTTCATCCTGACAGCTCCTAAGGCAGTGATGCTAACACGTGGCAACCAAAGAATGTGTTGGCACAAACAGAGTGGCCTGCACAGAAAATGAAGCTCAGAGAAATGCATCACTTTCTCAGTCCCATTCGAAAAGACAGTAGGCTCAGGAAAACATGGGGCACAGGGTAAAGGGGCTAGGGAACACACGGGGCACAGGGTAAAGGGGCTCGGGAACACCCGGGGCACAGGGTAAAGGGGCTCGGGAACACCCGGGGCACAGGGTAAAGGGGCTCGGGAACACACGGGGCACAGGGTAAAGGGGCTAGGGAACACCCAGGGCACAGGGTGAAGGGGCTCAGGAACACACGGGGCACAGGGTAAAGGGGCTAGGGAACACACGGGGCACAGGGCAAAGGGGCTCGGGAACACACGGGGCACATTTATCAGCACTGAGTAAAAGATATTCAGAGCCAGTACTATTCTGACCTAGTTATCCTTTCTCCCTGAAACCAGGAAGTTACAGATACTGAAAGTAGTGAAAGAGATTAGAAAACTCAATATAATAAAATAGAGTCCCATGCCTAAAACTGCTTCTCCATGTGTCACAGAGCCAGTCCTCAGTGTAATACTGAGAAACTCTGTGACCTTAACCAACAACTCCTCCACCTCCCTTCTCATGAGGTAGGAGATTAATATTTAGTGAAGGACAACTGTGGGCCCAACAGTGCTCTCATTTTCTTCTATATAATTCAGTTAACTCTGAGACAGTAATGAGGCAGATGTTATTACTCAATTTTATAGACAAACCGCCACTCAGAAAAGACAAGCAAGTTGCCCAAGACAATTTGTAAATGACCGAACAGGGAGTTCAATTCCTGTTCTCGCTGGCTCCAGGGTACAGCTCTTTCCATTATCCATCCAACCTGAAGTCGACGGAGCTTCTCTCCGTTAGTTTCCGTCCCGTCCCTGTTTTAATGCACTATTCATATGCCTCCTGGGCAGGCGCCTAAGTTCTCTCCAGTCTCTATGCTTGCAAAGGGAAGTGGGAGGAGGTTAAAGATGGAAAAAACAGAACAGGGAGAGAAGTGCTCCCAAAGACAAGGATGTTCTGTGTGAGACAGGGTCATTTCATTCTGCAGAAAATATGGTTTGCTTTAAGTTTCTTCTGGGTAAAGTACGATGTATCCTTTCTCTGAACCTACCAGCCTCTTCAGGGTCATCTATGCAATGGGCAAAGGAGAGATAGGGTATGGGGGAAGGACCGGTAGGGTGTGGGGGAGTGGGAGGGGAGGATGTGAGGGAGGGGCAGGGTGTGGGGTAGAGGCATGTGAGAAAATGACGGATTTAGTTGTCTTTACAATTAGACACAAGATGATGGTGACACTATACAGTGAGGCCAAGTGATGTTCCACCTGCAGCTGTCCCACACTGTCCTTACTGCAGGAGAATGCATGCTCACTCTGAAGACCGTCTCTGCAGCAAGCACAATGAAGATTCTTAAAGGTTCCCACTTTAAGCAACAGCTTTGTCCTGCTCCTGCAGACATTTCTTATAGCAAGTGAAGGTATGAAAGTGAAAATGAGGAGGTACCTGGAAGCCAGTGAACTTTGGGGAAGACGAGGAGTGGCATATAATGTCCCTGCTGCTGACTATGCCAAGGCAGTGTGCCAGGGTTAGGCTTGTTGGTTGTTTACACTGTAAGCTGGTTATAAATAAAGCAAAAATGCTAGAAACACTCAATACATAGATTTAATTCATGTAAAGAAACCAGCCTGTCATCCAGACACATCACAAAACAACATTGCTAGTACAGAAAGAGAAGCACTTTGAAAAGCCAACCAGCCAGCCTTACCCCAGGCATTTGTAGAGATGGGCCTCAATTAGGCATTTAACCATATTTGCTCACTGAACATTTCAGGAATGCTCCAGAGGGTTCATATTTTTATCAAGATCATGCCCCTTCCCATTCCCTTTAGGGTTCATGAGAAGGGAGAAGCCAACACAAATTTGAACGCTGTAGTTGTGAGACTCCAGAGCCTGTTTTGGCTTTAGTCGGTGTTCTTTAAAAGGAAAACCATGAGATGCAAACAAAAGTGTGACCAAGTCTTTTAAAACTTCTTTAATTCTTTAAAATAAATATAATGAACACATGAGATGGCCTCTTCCTATACGTATAGAACCAAAATTCTCCGAATGGGATAAAAATATAAGAAAAGGTTGAAGCTCATCCCGAATGGGCACATTCAAAGGCTTAGAAGGTTTGATTCTTCTGTCCTTTATGCTGTTTGCCAGCCTCCATTCTCATTAGAGTCGTGTGTGAGTACAGTTACCTAATGTACTCTCTGGTCTTCCTTACCTGTGAAATTTTGCCTTTTACAAGAAATAAATATAGTAACTTATAGGGAGGCTATGGCAGGCAATATCCCTCCCAGAGTCTAGTGGACATAGCTCATTATTTACCAAAACCCATACTATTCAACTCCCCTGGTTAATACAGCCCTAATTTTTAGCTGGGCAGGTTTTCCAGCTAAAAGTCTATGAGTTCTTTTGTAGTTAGTGAACATATTGATGGGACTTGAGAAAGGTTTTTTTTTTCTTTTGAGACAAGGCCTTAGCATGTATCCCAGACTTGCCTCCACTTGCCAAGTGCTAGGATTATAGACCCTGATGCTTAGAACATACATATAATGCCTGGAACTTAAGCAGCCATCTTGGAATAGTTTAAACCCATGTAATACTTGATGTGACCCAGCATAGGCTTGAATGAACTTGAGTCTCCATTAAGTGTAAAACCTATTACATGAACCCAAGTACCGTTTTAAAAACATGTCTTATTTACATTAGACAAATGTGTATTTGTATATTTTAGGGGTTTTTTACTCATGAAAATCTAATAGCAATTGAAGTTTTTTATATAATTTAATAATGGTCATTGCTAGAGCACAAAATCAATTCTTACTGTATAAATGACTATTTCATTGTATAAAACATTGGGGGAAACCTACAGACCTCCCCATGAACATCATCTGCCATCAGTAGGTACTTCCTCCTGAATGATCTGATTCTTGTCTCTTCAGGTCCCTCTTCTGGATATCTATGTTGTTATAATTCAGGATGTTCCCTATCACCTTCCAGTCTTGGAAGTGTAACCTCTCTCATGCTGTTCATTTTTACTGCTAGTTATGTAGGTAACAGCTTTGCTCCTAGTCAATAGCACTTTAAATTCCACTGTTCAAACAATGTGTATAGTTTATTTCTTGATGGATGCAGACAGATGCAGAATAAACAATTTTCAAAAATCTGTTCTATTTGAGTGACACATTACTTTGCTGCTGCAGTAAGTACAAATTCAAAGGAACTCTTTTATAACATGATAGAAATTCAGGTGCTTGCCTCAACAATAAAACTTCCACTGAAAACATGGTTGTGTGGCTTTAACAAAACGGTATTATGAGCTACAAAATGCCACTTCTGAACTTGTTACTAATTGAATTAAATTATGAAGGGAAAGTTGTCATTTTAAGCCAAGCTATAGTTTCTTGAGTTTTTGTATGACTCTCTTTCCTTACTGACAATCCAGTCTTTCTCTAATTCTATGGAGAGAAATCAGCCCATCCCACTCAGAGGCCAAGGATTACCAGAAGAACTGATGGAAGCTGGGTGGCTCACACTCTTCTAGAAAGAACTAGGGGAATGGATGTCTGTGGTCCTCAGTAAATCTGAGGTAAACTGAGAAAAGGTCCTATGAGAACAGCTGGGACCTGGAGGTTGTATGGCTTGAAAGCTA